CCACACAAAGCTAGCGATTTCAGTATAAGATAATGTCACTTTGATGCTCACATATTCATTTCATAGGCAGGTAGAACAAACTGGAGATATGTGTTTTTAGAACAAAATACTTGAGATAGTTGAGATTCTTTCTTATGGTTGACCTCAAGAAGAACGATATGAAAGCACTGGCACAAGAAAATCACTCATCTCATAGCAAAAAAAAAAAAAGGAAGGAAAAAAAGGGAGAACAAGTCTCATAGTCTCCTTCTTATCTCCTCCTTATCTCACAATACTTCCATCTGGGGGACCAAGCCTAACTCATAGGTCTTTGGGAGACATATAAGAACCAAACAGTGGTGTAAAGTTGAATTGTGTGCGTGTTACAGTTTGTGTCTGGATGTCACCCCAAAGCCGCATGCTGTCATGGAGGTGGGCTTCTAGAGTCTGTGACTGATTCATAGTCTAGTGCTGCAATTATAGGTGTGAGTGCTACACTCACTGGATGTGGTCTACATACACTATAAAGGACAGAAAGAATCTTCTCATGTGCTCCTCCCTTTTTGCTCTTGTTGATTTTGCTGCTTTCTGGCCACCACGAATTGTTGCCCTTTGCGATTAGCCACTCTGCCTTGCAGCCAACTGAATATGAACTGAAACTTCCACAAACTGTGAGCTAAATAAAATTTTCCTTCCTGTATTTTGAGTGTCAAATATTTTGTCTCAGCAATGAGAAGTAACCAATACAGTGTGAATGCATTTTAATCGTCTGTAGAAAGTTTTCTAAAAGGCACAACAAGTAAATTGTGATGGTTAGATTTTTGTATTTTTCGTCAAACTCAATCTTTGTCATTGCCCTAGCAAATGTTGAATAAAAATGGTAGATAATTGTTTTAAGAACAATAAGGTCATGAACACTAATCATAGCTTACTGGCTTAAATGAGTTTTAACATAAATCAAGTCTCCAAATACTTCATTCTTAAATACAGTCACAAAATAAATATGAACTTCCTGAAGGCAATAATTAAATCTTAATCAGAGTTGTATTTTTAATGCCTAATATACAGTAGATGGTCAATGAAAATTAGCTGATGCACAAAGCTGTGAAATCAATTTTATTTCATTTGTAAGAAGTGTTATGAGTTTAGGAGGCAGAACTGTGCATGTCAGAATTTGTGTCCCTTAACTGACCTTTGAATTTTTGTGTTTCATGTCCTTAGTGATTTCTAGAACAGGAAATTATCTCCACTATTGAAGAGTTACATTAACTGTACTAGTTGTTTTAAAAATTATTTTGGTTCTCACATGCTCAATAAATTTTAGCTAATTGTCTTTTCTTCTTCATTAGTATTGCTTTCTTTTTAAAGGAAAATATTAGAAATACTTAAGAATTTTAAAATTTAGTAATAACTGTCTCTTGATAGTGATATTTTTACACGTTGAAATTTAGGAAGGAATAGAATAACCTCAATTTGGTGACAAAAAATTGGAATGAACTCAGAAAAATATCAAACACTAGTACTTCAAAAATTATCAGAAATGCTGCCTAAGTTAATAAGATTTAACTATGAAACAATTTCAAATTATATAGAAAAATAATAAAAATTAGCTAAACAAGTGGGATGTCTCTATAATATCTGTGTCTTTCCACATACAAGTTTGAAGAATCTTATGAAGCCTGATAGCTTAGAAGAGCCTGCCTCTGAACAGAACTGATCTTCAAACCTAACATTGCCCACTGCCTGTTAGAGGAAGGCAGATTGATTAACTGATTGATTGATTCAGCAGATTGATTGAACCAGGGTTTTACACTGAACTGCATCCCTATGTTTTTTCAGTTATTTTTGAGACAGGGTCTTGCTAAGTCACTAACTTGACCAGTCTGGGTTTGAACTTGTTATCCTCTTGTCTCAGCCTCCCAGAATGCTGGGATTAGTGGCATAAAACTAAATTTAACAGTATTGTTTATACTACTAGATTCTAGAGAAAGTTGAGAAACCTTGAAGTTATTTTCGAGAGGTAAGAGTGGGATCAGTGCAATCATAAAGGAGGGTAGTGATTACATTCTTCTATGAGTCCAGACAATAAGAGGGCGCATTTAAAGAGAATTTAGAAAACAGTAATTAAAAGGACTAACAGAACTAGACAGTATGGGTTCCACCAGCACTATAGATTGGGAACTCTAAGTAACAGTGATGAAGAATTACCCCCTAAAAATATTGTTAGTCTGTTTTTTAAAGCAGTTGAGTGGTTACTACTGAGATTTTATGTATATTAAATGAGTTTAGTTTTAATTTATCCTCCAACAGACATCATATTAGCTCCAGCCACAGAAATATTCAGTTCTAAGTTTTTGTTTTATTAGTAAATTCATAATAATTCCAAGCACTGAGCTCACTAAGGGTACTATATCATTTAAAGAAATATAAACTCTACAGTATAAACAAACAGTGATAGCACAGTGATCATAAAGGTGAAGAAACTGAACTACAGTTAATTAAATTCTGTCATTTTCTCTGACCAGTTGAGTTTCTATGTCTAAGTCAGTGAAGCAGTGTGAGCCATGCGGTTAACAGCTTTGCCTGGGAGCTCTAGCTGCCCATGTAGCTAAATGATGCATCCCAGATTGGCTTCCTTCCTTTTTCTCTTTCCCCTAACCTGTGTCCTTCACATTTCTAAGAACATATTTACACCTAAGTGCTCATCTCAGAGTCTGCCTGTGTAGGAATCCAAACCAAAATGTATCACTATAATCCCATGCTGAGTCCTACACTATTCTTATTCCTGGTAGAAAAGCGGGCAGGTGTAGAGTCTCGGCTGTTTACACTTAGCCCATGGGATTATGTGTAGTAGCGGGCAAACAGTGCTTGGGAAAAGTGAGGGCTGCATTTACACACTTGTCTGTCTGGAGAAAGTCCCAAATACAATGTCTCCTCTCAACATTGCTGTTGAAAGGCATATTATAAATAAGCTGGGCCTGGATATCAAATTTAGTGGATGAAGGGGGTCAAAAATGACGAAGCTATGTATTTGCTCTTTGTCTGCCAGCTCTAGTCCTGACATAGCTTGTCAGTTCAAGTCTAGGTCAATATCTAAAATGAGCATTAAACCAGGGTGGGTGCTTCTGAAACAAAAATAGATCTCTGGTTCAAGAAAGGAAGCACAAGGATAAGAAAACCCAAGAGGCTCCCTGGAAAACAGGAAAGTGGCTCTTGTCTTTGTTAGGTGGAATATTTCTATAAAAGGACTTGAGTAAGGTGTTGCACTCTATTCACCTGCTTAAACTGTGAAGTGAGCTTACTATAGTTATTCTCAGTTCAGGCTGTCAAACAATATGAGATTATTTATCATCCCCCCCCAAAGTATAGCTTTTGAAGTCCTGAATATAAACAGACAAAATCCCTGTATAGGGAAAATCCACACATAAATATACTTTTAAAGCTTTGTGTATAATTTTGACAAAGAAGTGATAGAGACCATAGAATCGGAATATGGAAAATGTTAATCTGATACGGTATAATCAGCAAACTCTTTAATTGCTTCTTAATCTGATGTTTACCATGAGAATTTAAGTAGGACTTCAAAATCCTTACAAATGAATTCCAGCCTCAAATGGCATTATAATCTGTGGATATCAACATCCTTCCTGAAATTTTATTCTCTATCATTATGTGGAGTGATAAAGAGTTCTTAAAAATAAGTTATATTTCCAGTGATATTTATGCTCTAAGTACAAAGCATCCATGAAAAATAGTATTTGCATGAGGAAATACATGTCACATCTACGTAGTAAAGCTTCTGCCTTGGGGCCAGATGCTTTTTTCTGTGTTTCTTAACTCCTGAATTCATGAACTTTCCCTGACTGCAGCTAATGCATGAAGGAGAAAGATAATCATCTGCAATTATGCCTTTTAGAGTCTTGAAGTCAACACTTGACTATCACCAGTGCAGCACAATGATTGGTCAGTGACTCAACATACAGCTGCAATATTAACTTAGGACATGATTCATAAATGAGCCATCTCCTATTATAGTTGCTGACAGAATCCTGGCAGTGAACCCAGTTTTCTAGAGAAAAGTTGATCTTGGCAATCAATCCCTATTTTAAGAAAGCTGGTATTTGTGTTTCTGCACTCCCCCCCAATACACACACTATTTGGATGGACCCATAATGCTGTATCCTGAGAGAGCATCTCATTCTGTCTTGTGAATATTCCAGCATTTTTTTTTCTGCTTTAAAGGTTATTGTTTAAGAGTGAAATGTGTTTGAAACATGGTTTTGTCTGGTTAGATGCTCCTCCTTTTCTGAGCTTCAGTCAAAGGAAAAGAACAATATATTTAAATTGGAAGAGTAAACGAAGTATTACATGTAGAGCATATCGTGATGGCTAGACATAATAAATGCTTTTTTTTTCTTTTTAAATATTTTTTTTAGTAGGGCTGGGGACCAAACCCAGGGTTTCATGCACCCAAGGCAAACACTCCACTAGTGAGCTTTCTCCCATCCCAAATACTCTCTTAACTTCAATTGCCCAGATCACACAGATAAGCTAGAACAAGAGCATTTGCCATAAAAATCATAATAAAGGGGATTTAATCAAAAGTATGTGAAATTATACAAACATATTTTGAGATAATATTATAGGTACAATTTTAGAAAACTTCATTTACAAGCAAATAAATGCATGGAAGTGTGTAAGTAATCTAGAAATCAAATCATATAAAGGCAAAACATTTTAGAATTATATTTTGTCTCTTAATAATAAGAACACATGCACAGGCGTGCGCGTACACACACACAAACACACGCATGGTGGCCTACAGGCCCTGGAAACCTTTTTTGCCCTTATATAAATGACATTTTTCTTGTCATTTTTTTAATATTTAATAGCTATTGAATTTCATGTACTATTTGCCAGTTTTCTGCTACCTCTTTGTCCCCTGCTGCAAAAGATCTAATCTATTCAGAGAAAGATAATTGCAGAGTTGTTGAGACAGGAAAGAAATTGCTGCATCTTACCACTGTTGTGTGCCTCCAGCTGTGAGGCGGAGTTGACAGCCACCTTGCATAGAGAACAGTAAAGGAGCCTTTTCGCCTTTTCTTCCTCAGTCTCTGTGGAAGAACACGAGCTATTGCCAGTGGCTGTCGTGGGGCTTTTTTCCACTTTCGAGGTGATCTCAGTTGTCATAACACTGCTTTTGCGAATTTCCACACTTGTGGTTGATATTGCTGGTGTCCCTGTAGTACTGTCTGCATTCAAAATAACATAGAAAGAGGACAATGGTATTACCTTTCTCTATGCGTAAATACAACACTAATCTCATATCCTATCAATAATAAGAGAAATTAGCAATTGCTTCTCATCAATTATATATCAATAATGAGGAAATTTACATAGATGATTCCATTTAATTTTACATTCTAAAATACAACACTCAGATGATACTTCAAAATACATGCAAACACAATTTTAAATATTATCTGGGGTAAGGAAGCATATCACAAATTTTTCTGAATATGTTACCCTGGAAAAATTGTATTTACAGTATATTGCACTCTGTACATTTCTTCTATATAGATGGCTTTTAAAAATTAAAAGAGGACAAATGCATTTAAAATATTCTTTTTATATTTACTTTGCTTAAGAAAATTGGCACAGAACTTTTGATATATGCTTAGGAACAAAGCGTAAAACCCAGTGTTATAATTGCTTTGTCCACATTAGCAGTTGAGAAAACCACTGCTCTTTTAATAAAGAGTTATATTTTAATGCCCAGCACCAAAATTATCAATATCAAAAAGACAGGAATTGTAATATTCATATTTATTAAATGCATTGTCTCAAACTGTGCCAGAAGTATGTGGCAGAAGTACTGAAACATTAATAGTTACTATTCACAAGTAATTCACAATCTGGTCACACTATGCTAACATGACTTCAAGAGTTCAGTGTCCATGAAAGTGTTGATGCACTGTAACTTAACAACCCTTTTGGCTTTCAAGTCTGATACCAAATTGGGAGATATCAACTTTCAAAGCAAAAACTGCCATGCCCTAACTTCACTTGGGTACACTTAGCTCTCTCCCAAATATGCCAGTCGCCAGGATTTCAGCAATTTTGTCGTAGCCAATAAAGACTTGGCATTTACCTCCAGGTTTATAGTCTATTTACTCTGGTTTTTGTCCTTCTGCCAGTCAGCTGGTTCTGAACTTCTTTTCCCAAATAGCTCAAGGCTGCCTTTTCTAGCTATGGTTGCTCTTGGCACTACTGTTCCACATCACTCAAATGATGCCATGGTAAATTTTTACGCTGTGTTCAAGACTAATAGATGGGCTCTGGGTCCAAGGGGCAGTGGTCTGGCTGCAAAGATGCCTTGTCTGCATAAATATTTACTATTTAGTAGCTCGTATCATTAAGAGCTGGCTACAGGACAGGAGGTTCCCTTTGTTCCAGCTATGGGTGAGAATGGGATGAGGTTGTATATTGCTAATTTCCTAAATATATAAGAAACACTAATTCAAGAGGGATAAAGGCTCTTCTTCAAGACTGTTCAATAAAAGGATTCACATGGATTTTGCTTCCTTTGCCTGACATTTCACACACTCTCAATCACTTATTTAGCTTTAGTGGTTCAAATCAATAAATAGGTCCCTTTCTACAGAATGGGAAATATTCACCAATCGTGTTTTTAAAATATCATACTACAAACCAGTGCCTCATACAAAAGAAAAATAAATAAATAAAATTAACATTTTTGTCATTAGAACACAAGCTATGACAGGAAAATACTGTGAACCTTTAACCATTCAAAAATTTGTTACAGTAAAAAGCAAAAGGACCTCAAAGTACTTCCCCATAATCGGTCATACTTATTCCATCAGTCTTGTCACTTTCTCAAACAATTCTGGAAGTTTTCTTTCACAACTGCTTTTCATGACCGCCATGGCTATCTCAATGTCACGAATTGATTCAAAGCATATAGTTTTTAGGCTTATTTTAACTGTAGGGAAGAGCTGTAAATTGCATAGTGACAGAGTCTGTGAATAGCACAGATGAGGACCACTGGAATGTTTTTACAAGCCTGCCTTTCCACTGAAAGTCACTCTTCAACACCGTTCATTGCGTCTTGATCACACTAGGTAAAGACATTCTGAAAGAGGACTTCCAGAACTGCTTCAAAGTAGCAAGGAAAATGGGGTAAGTGTGAAGTGAAGGGGAGTATTTTGAGGACTAAGGACAACGCATCTTTCACAGTAATATATTTTTAAAGAGCTTGAAGAGCTATAATATTTTGATTACCCTTTGTGTGCTTGTTCCACTGAACATGAAAAGGCCCACTTCCTGATAAGTTTTGCTTCTCTGCTAAGGTTCCATTAATGTACAGGGTAACAGATAAAAATATTTCTGAGAATCTCAAGATGGCATAAAACATAACAATTTTGAATGGTCCTAAAACTGTTCATGACTCTTAGTAAGCTCATTAAAATCCCATTTGTATGTACCTGAGAATAAAGAGTAGCCAATTCGCTAAGTGACTTATAGACTTAAAAATAATCTTTTTATGTTTAACCTTTTACACAAAGCTATGAAAATCCATGATTTTCAGCAGTGAAAGAAATTTCCCAAGATTACATGGGTAGAATATAATTAGTCAGGGCAAAATATTTCATGGAATGAGCAAATCAGGGGTTTGTTCTCCTGCTCCCCCTGACTTCTGTCCCCCCTCTTCCCTTCCCACCCCTTCTTTCTCCCCTTCTCCTTTTCTTCTTTTTCCTCCTCCTCACTTTTCCTCTTCCTCCTCTTCCTTCTCCTCCTCCTCTTCTTCATTTTTGTGGCTACTGACAGTTGAACACAGAACCTTCCCACTGAGCTATGTCGTGGCCTTTTTAAAGTTTTTATTGTGAGGCAGGGTCTTCTAAATCATTAGGTTCCCCAGGCTGGGCTTGAAATTATGATTCTCCTGCCTCAGTCTCCCAGAGTGCTGAGATTACAGATGTGTGCTACCTTGCTCAATTTGAAATCTGGGATTTTAGAAAAAAAAATGCTGTGAATGATAAGCTTGGCCATGACTGTGATTGTCCAGAATAAGATCATAAACAGCAGTGGACTAAAATTCACTAAGTTATTCTATCATCTCACTCTTGGGGAGCAGAAAACATAAAAATAAGTGTCTTTAAACTCACTGTGGTCACACAGTGAAACCAGAGTGTGATGCTGTTGGTATTTATTTCAATGAAATTTAACATGCCACAGATTTCCCTGGGAATAAGCTGTTTCTAGTAACTTAGTTTTGCATTGACATGTCTTGATCTGGGGATGGTACATAGTGAAGGCACTATTAATCCTAAAATAATTTCCTTACCATATAGCAATTTGTTAATAAAACTATAGACTGAATAAAATTATATATTTTCCAGTCTTTGCGACACCAGGGATAACATACATTTACCAAGAGCCCAAAAGATTAGACCCTAGGTTTTCTCTGACTAGGGCCTAGTGAAGTATTAACATCTCTTTGGAGAGTCCTTTCCTTAAAACAGACTTAGAGGAAATCATATAAAATACTTATCTTGCCACAGTTATATTTTGTGGCATACTTTTAATCACAGAGCAGAACATAGATATATTCTTTTCTAAGTATGCAAGTAATTTTTTTCTTTTTTTGTCTTTTTCTTTTTTATCGGTACCAGGGATCGAACTCACAACTGCCTACTTGCAAGGCAGGCGCTTATACGGCTGAGCTAAATCCCCAGCTCCAGTATGCAGGTAATTTAACAGAAATGCCAAGGTACAATTTTCATTTTAAATTTAATATATAAATCATGAATCCTGTTATAATTTATAACAAGACATGGATTTTTTTTCTTTGTTTTATCCATGATAAAAGGGCCTTTTAAAATAAAACATTAGGGTATATACATCCTAATATTTTCCTATTCAAAGAAAATTAACTATTCTTTACATATAGTAAAGGAAGATTTTTAACATGGTGTGTTAAATTGCAAATTATATATAATTCGTATTTACTCATTGAAACAGAATTTTAAATTGATTATCATGTTAACAACATAGGTATGAATTAGCTCTGTGGCCCTCCTCCGCCGAGTCCATATCCTTGTCTATGTCTACATGTGAGAAAAACATAAAACAAACCTAAACTTCAGGGTTGTCTATCAAATTCCTGGCTCCTCAAAAGTATCAAGGAAGACTGAGAAAATGTCACACTCGGAAACTAAAGAGCCATGAGAACTAAATATAACACAGCACCCTGCATGGAATCCTTGGGAGAGAAAAAAGGTCAGTTTGGTAACAAAGAAATCTGAATAAAGTACAGGCTTTAGTTTCAGTCCTGGTTCATTAGTTGTGGCAAATGTGCGAAAATAACATGAAAGGCTAATAATAAGGGAAACCGGGTGATGTGAATATGGGCACTGTTATATTCTTGCATCTTTTTAAAAATCTAAACTACTTTAACATTAAAATTTATTCAAGAAAACTTGATTAGAACTATTAGGTAAATACTGTAACATTCCAGTTACCTTGAAGGATTATAGTTAGAAGAAACCCCAGTGCTTTTTCTAGTCTAGTTTTCTTGAGTTTAAGTGGGAAAGTTTAAGTAAATTCCTGAGTTTTACAAAGTTCGGTACATTAGACACAAGGACTTCTATTTGCAGAGCCCAGTTTCAAGTGCAGAGCTTGTTAACTTGCACTGCAATGATGCATCTACTCAAAATTTATTTCACTGACATTCATTAAACAGAAATTCTGTGTCAAGTTCAATGCTAAGTCACTGGAGATAAGAATCCAATAAACATAAATCATGTACTTAGTGGCAAAACAGTTTAGAAGATATCACAGAATAATTTGAAATAATAATGAACATAAACTCAATCCTTTATCTTCTTTGCTCATTACTGTACTCTCGTCCTAATACTTTACAGGAACTAGGTACACAATAAGTCTTTACTGAAAGTAACCAATGAGAGAATGAGTGAATGAATGATCATAATAAATCAGAACTGTTAAAACACTTTTAAAGTATTCATAGTATTTCCTCATTTAATCTTCACAAAAACCCAAATGGTGCATATTATCTTTTCCTCATCTTTGGGAAGAAACTTAGGCATCGAGAAATTTGAGAACTTGCCCAGTGCCAAGAACTGTGACACGATGATTTCAACTTGTTTGTTTTAGTTGCACATGGTCATTTTTCTGATTGATAAATTTTACTTTATCTTGATGATAGTTT